TACTCCTCCTCCTCCTCCTCCTCCACTCCTACTCCACCTACTTCCTTCCCCTCCCGACCCCCCCCGACCCCCCCCCCCCCCCCCCGTCCCCCGCGCCCCTTTCCCTTCCCCTCCCCTCATTCCCCTCCCATCCTCCTCTACCTGCAGAGATTTGGCTGGTTTCTTGCTTTTCTTTTCCTTGACTGCAGGAGGAGGAGCAGGAGGAGGAGGGAGTCCCTGAGGTAGGATCGTGAGCAGCAACCAGCATGCCTCTACCTCTTACCAGGCCAGGAGGAGGAGGAGGAGGAGGCAAAGAACCGTCGGCGGATGGAAGAGGAGGCAGAGGAGGAAGAGGAGGATCAGAAGGAGGAACAGAGCTGTTCTCGCCCTCCTCCACAGTGTCCTCCTTGGGGTGGGAGGAAGCAGTGTCTGCATCCTTGGAGAAGAATGAATGATCCTGGTTGGCCGAGACAAGTCAGACAGAAAGACGGACAGAGGGGAGGAAATGGGTTGCAGGAACGAAAGCAGAAGAACAGCAGCAGAAGAAGCGGATAGAGCAGCGGCAGAGACGGGAGCGAGAGCAAGCAGGAGCAGATGCAGGAACAGGCATGGGCAACAGCAGCAGCAGCAGCAGCAGCAGCAGCAGCAGCAGCAGCAGCAGCAGCAGCAGGGTCACGAGGTCACCGGAGGGATCGCAATCAGCTTCGCGTCATTCTTGAGTTCTTCCCCGCAGGTCAAGAGCTCACGGAGGAAAGTCTGAAGGTCAGCGAAGAATTGACCTGCATGACAAGAAGTGAGAAGAGAGGAGGAAAGTGGAGGAGAACAGGACAGGCAAGGACAGGACGGGAGAGGAGACGACGGAGAGGAGCAGAGCAGAGCAGGTCAGAGCAGGGCAGGGCAGAGCAGGGCAGGGCAGGGCAGGGCAGGGCAGAGCAGAGCAAAGAAAAATGGAAAGGATGAGAGGGGAGGAGGATAAGCTTCAAGGGATCATGCAGGGACGAAAATCCATGAGGCCTCTTGACAGCCACACTTGTCAATCCATAGCTTCTGCTCTTGCAACCTAAACCTCCTCCTCCCCCTCCCTCGCCGGCCTCCTCCTCCCCCTCCTCCTACTCCTCCTCCTCCTCCTCCTCCTCCTCCTCCTCCTCCTCTTCCAACTCCTACTTCTCCCCCTCATCTCCCATTCCTCCACATTCACCTGCATTGAATTTTCCCGAGTCTTCCACAAAATATGCAGCCACCTTCGAATATCCTGTCAGAATCCATCCTTCCTCTCTCCCTCCTCCTGCTCCTCCTCTGCTCCTCTGCTCCTCTGCTCCTCTGCTCCTCTGCTCCTCTGCTCCTCTGCTCCTCTGCTCCTCTGCTCCTGCTCTTGCCCTCCTTCCCCTCCTCCTCTTGCCCTCCTTCCCAGCCTCCGCTTGACTTCCTCTGCATCTCTTCTCCCATTCTCTCCTCCCCATCCCCCTATCCTCCTCCTCCTTCACCTGCGCATGCTCCTGCTGCATCCGAGAAAGATCATCTCCCATCTTCGTCACTTCCTCTGCTGCGCTCGACAGAAACTCGCCCATCTTCTCCATGAACTTGCGCACATGGCCCCTCTCCTCCTCCTCCTCCATCTTCTCCTCCACCTTCCCCAGGTTGGCCACCGTAGCCTGAGCCCCAGCACACGCCGTGCTGACCTCCTTGACCTCAGTGACGAGGAACTCGAACGAGATCTTCGTCGTCTCGTCGATCTTCCTCTTCAGCTCCTGCAGCTCCTCCTCCGCCCCCTCCCTCTTGCTCCTCAGCACGTGCATCATGTAGTGCAGCAGGTTCCCCCTCCTGTTCGACAGCTTGTTCCCTGCCAGCAGCGACGAGCTCTGGAACGTGAAGCCCAGCGCTCCTCCTAGCATGTGGCCCTCGTTGATGAAGTTGCCGATCGTCAGACCGAGCAGGAACACTTCACGAAGAGCAGGACAGCTCCTCACGCTAACGGCGCAGTCGATCGCTTGCCCCAGCTTCCCTCCTATCTCCTCCTTCCTCACGTGAAACTCCTCCCGGAACAGCATCGCTCCGATCCAGTCCTGCGGGAAGGGGAGCGCTCCCAGCTTCAGCAGGAACTGCTCTGCAGGCCCCAACTTCGCGCTCTCTCCCTTGCTCTGCTTGAGGTACGCTTGCAGAGTCTTCTCCTCGTCAGCGGTGGGCAGCATGCTCTTGAGCGACAGCAGCTTGTCCATGTCCAGCACCTCCATGTCCATCTCGAGAATCGCACGGCAGATCTCGTCCTGGGAGCAGCGGAACTGAGCGAGGGCGATGCCGACGTTCTGCGCTCGTTTCATGTCGAGGAGCGAGACGAACTTGCTCGGCTTCTGCTGCTTCCTCGCCGTCTTCTTCTTCTTCTTCTCGGCCTTAGGGTCCTCACACAGCAGCGCCTCCAGCTCCTTCTCCTCCAGGCCAAACGTCGTCAGCGAGCTCTTGCCTCGCACCTCGTGCCATAGGGCAGGAGCGACGCACTTCATCGGAGGAACCTTCTTCCAGTGCAGCATCTTCAGCGCAGGAGCATGCTTCCTCATCCGCAGCGCCATGGGGTTGCTCCCTCCCATCCCAGGGGGAGGAGGCGGCGGCAAGAGTCCTCCTGGGGGGGGCGGGGGAGGAGGAGGCCCTAGTCCGCCCAGTGGAGGAGGAGGAGGAGGAGGCGGAACTCCAGGAGGAAGAGGAGGGGCAGGAGGAGCAGGAGGGAGGCCTTGGGCGATCGGAGGGGCAGAAGCCTCAGGTATAGGAAGAGGCCTCCCTTTGCCCTCATCCTGGTCCTCCCTTTGCCCTTCCCCGCTCACTCGCCCCTTGTCCGACGCCTCCTTGAGCTTCTGCGACTGCCTGTAGCTCTCCAGCTTGCTCCTCGACGCAGAGGATGGCTTGTAGCTCCCTTCCTTCCTCTCCACCTCCTTCCTCTCCTCCGCTGCCTCCCCCTTCTCTCCTCCTGCCTGCTGCGACACCCTCCTCCTCTCCGCCTCTTTCCCTTCGCCTCCCTCCTCCTCCTCGTCGTTGTCCTTGAACAACGTGTGGATCTGGTACGCCCGCTCCACATCGTTGTTGGTCCTCTGCAGAGCAAACGCGGCGACCTTAGGAGGGACGTCTCGTTCCTCCAGCAGCTCCACGAGCCTCGGCTCCGGGTTGATCGCGTGGAGAGCAGAGAGATCCTCAAGGCAGCTCCCGCAGCGGAGGATGAGACTGAGCTCCTCCTCCTGGAACTTCTCCACTTCCTCGCTGCTCTCGTTGGCAACTACGTCGACTGTCATGTCGGTAGGAACGACAACGTTCTGTGGAGCGCCTGTGAGACAAGACAAGACAAGACAAGACAAGACAAGACAAGACAAGACAATGTGAAGTCAAGTCAACCACGTCTGAAGGCTAGACACGGCACAGGAATGAGCTCCAACATCAGTCACCCTCACATCTCAAACCGCAAGTCAGACATCAAGCAAGGGAGCGACAAGGTAAAGAAACAGACAAGCAGCAGGGGCAGCAGCAAGTCAACTCACCGGCAAGATGTCAAGGTCGCTTCTGTGCAGCCTGAAGGGTCCGGGATGGACGAAGCCAGTGTTGAACGTGTACCGGAAGATGATGTCCTTGTCCACAGTCTCGTCGTTGTACTCCCCATCGCCAAGGCCGGGAAGGTTCTCCTCTCTCAGCTGCTTCTTCAAGGCCACGTGATAGCACGTGATGATCACGTCTCCTAGGACCGTCACCCCAGCTCGCCCGTCCGACCCTGTGAAGTGGAACTTGATCACTTCCCCCTCCTTGGAATCCACAAACACGGGAGCGATCCCCGCCTTGAGCGTGCTGTAGATCACGCTGCCGTTGTTGTGAACCTCCATGATGGGTCTACAGCCCTTGACCTCTCTCCCAGTCTTGGGGTCCGTCATCGCCTCGAAGATCAGGTTGCTGTTGGTGTCCTGGACCCCTTGGTTGCTGCGGTGGAGGAACAAGCGGTGCAGCACGAGCGGCTTCGTGTTGAACAAGCCAGCCCTGATGTTGACATCGAAGTCATTCACCAGCCGCTTGAACGACGGCTTCGTCCTCATGTCGTCCACCTCGTCCCTTGAGATGTTGCGCTTCATCGCAAACTCGTCGAGCGCGGCTTGTGCTGACGTCATCGACGAGACTTGGTTGGACCCCACGGCTGACCCGAACATCTCCAGGTCCTTGTTGAACTGGTCAAGGGCCTTGAAGCACGAGTACACCAGCGCTGCTCGCGTCCGCCCGTTGAGCGTCATGTACCGCTTCTTGCTCAGGTCCTCGTACTCGTTGTACAGCAGCACAACCACATGCTGCTTGTCCAGCGACAGCCAGTACCTCATCCCATGGCAAAGCTTCAGCATGAAGGCGAGGCCTGGGATCGATTCCTCCAGGTCGTAGCTGACGACCTGGTGGTCCAGGGTAGAGTAGTCGAACTTGTCCTCGCCCGACAGGTTCCACACGAGGAACTTCTCCCCCATCTCCTCCCTCAGCTTCCGAATGGCGTCCTCCATCCCCTTGTTCTTGGGCGTCTTTCCGTACTTCCAGGGGAACCCCATGATGTACAGCCGGTCCTCCATCCTCACCAGCTCGTCGTGCAGTTGTGGCATCTTCTCCAGCAGGGAGATGGCAGGGTCGAGCTTGTTGTTGCATCGCTTCAGCACCCATGCTCGCACCTTCTCGTTCACGTCTGATCGCTTGGGGTTCTGTTCGCGCTGAAGGCGGAGGTACTCGGAGAGGAGGAAGAGATACTCGTTGGAGGGCTTCACGATGTGCATCTCGCTCATGCCGATCAAGCCGCTGAAGTCCGAAGGGAAGATGAAGTCCTCTACCCCCGGCCGCTCCTCCACCTGGAGCTCAGCTGGGCTCTCCTTGTCCTGAGCTGGGGGGCTGAGGATCAGGTCGACCTTGAAGTCCGACGACATGGAGACAGGGTTGTTGTGAGAGATCGGCATGCTGGGATACTCGCAGGCGAAGTCAAGGTCCTCTTTCTTCAGCCTCTGCATCTGTCCTCCGTTGGATAGGAAGCCGGTGTGAAAGCAGATGCGGAAGATGGGGATCTTGTCCGACTTGGGTTTTGTCAGCTTCTCCGTCTGTTTGTTGATACGGTTTGCCTCTTGCTTCACGTAGCCGTGCCGCACGTGATAGCAGGAGATCACAACATCGCCCCACAGTAGCGCATTCAGCGACTCAAACACCATGATCTCGTCCTTGCTGGAGAAAGAAGTAAACTTCGCATCTCGGATGTCGGTGTATTTTGCTGCAGTGCAGCAACGTCAGATGTCGTGTCGACACATCAGCATAGCAAGGAGGCTTCCATCACCTTGCAGATCGATCTTCTCTCCATTGCACAAGATCTCCAAGATCTTCTCGCATGTCAACCCCAGCAACCCCAGCACAGGCTCTCACCGGTCGGCACTGGCTGCTGTCGAAGAAAGCAGGCACAATGTGAACAAAGATGCAGTCGAGCATCACGGGCTTTGTGTTGGAGAAGCCATGCTTTCGGATGTCATCGATGTAGCTGTAATACCTGACATGTACACTCTCAGATCCCACACCCATGATGACACATTGTCATGGTCTCACAGAGACAGCGAAGGCACAAAGACGTTCGAGATGTCGCCTAGCTGCGAGCAGCAGACAAGTCAGAAGCTGCTTCATACGTCAAGCAGCAAGCTTGTCCCACCAGATCCACCACCCGATCCAGCCCCTCGCGCGCATCTTTCGTCTCTCCCGAGTACGCCAGGTACGCGCTGACGAGAAAAGCGACGCGGCTCTCGATGTTGATCGACATGGTGTCCTTGTCGACGTGGGGAGAGCTCAACCCGTCCTCATAGAGAATGACGGCGATGTTGAGCGCGTCTTGCTTCAGCCAGTAGCTGAGATACAGCACGTCAATCCCTCCACCCAAGCATGAGGTCGTCTACCGTATCATGTTGCAGATGCTGAAGGTGAACTGCATGGAGGGGATGTACTCGGGGAAGTCTCGTACATCAAGGACCTGAGAAAGCGCTCCATGAGATAGAACAAGCTTGAAAGTCAAAGATGTCTTGACCGTGACTACCAACAGCTTTCTTTCTACTCAACAAACACCAAAGGCAAGTGCAACACATCAAGATAAGCTTCAACCACTCACTTGCTCCTCCAAATCCTTCGTCTCAAACAGACGCTTGTCTGTGGCAGTCAGGTTCCACACCAAGTAATGCCCAGCATGCTCCTGTCTCAGACTTCACCCCCGCACTGTCACAACTCCCGCCCACTCACTTCGTTCAGTCTATTGATCGATCTAGCAAGCCTGGAAGAAGCGAACAGCATCAGACGAAGCAATCAAGCACATGTGACTCGCCTCGATTTGTCATCGCCGATAGGCAGCAAGACGAGGTTCTTTGTGATGTATGTGAGGTACCCTGATGACAAGCTGCTCAGCACATGCTCATGCTGCAACTACTCCTCGTCCTCACCCAAGTCCTCGCCTCGACCAGCGATTGCATCGTAAGCTGCTGACCAGACCCTGCTGGCGATGGTGGCTTCATTGAAGACAAGGTGTCAGACTATCAGCATCACGATGGCACAAAGAGTCTGCAGGGTCAGACCTTTCTTGGTGCCTCGATGACGCGGGAGGGGTGGCGATTCAGACTTGTTCATGGTCGGTGATCTCAGGGCTCATCGCCTAGTGGGCACATTCCCCTGACAGCTCCAAGAGAAACGCCAGCTCGTGAAGAAGCGAAGGCTGAAAGATGTCGGCCAGGCTCAACTAGCCAGCAGCGCTCAGTTAGGTTCTACAAAGATTCCTGGCTTACAAATGCTACCTCCTCCTCCTCCTCGCTCTTTGGATATGATGAGTGACTAGACTATCGATATCACGTTCAAGTTCGCTTCTTCTTGACCGCTCTCCTCCTCTCCTTCCTTCATCCCTCCCTCTCCCTTCCCCTCTGCCGCGCTGCCTCCCTCCTGTTGCTGAGTCTGCATTGATCCCCCAGAAATGTCATAAAAACATTATATCAAAACTAGCTGGCTGATCTGGTGCTGCCCATGGACCCACCCGTTGCGAGCCAAGTACCCTACCTTGTTACTGCTTCCAAAATTGGCACTTCTGTCTGACCCCACTCCACCCCCCACCCCCCCGCCCTCCCCCCACCCCCACCCCCCACCCCACCCCACAAGGACCATCCTTCCTTTTGAAATGAATACTACCGACAACATTACCACCCACCCCATCTTCTCTGAAGTTGGCGGTGAAACGGTGAATAACGGACTCGAATTGGGGATCAGCGCTACACCATGCCGCCCGGCCAACAGCGGCTCCACATCTCCTCCCTCTCTGAGAGGTCACCCGGTGACTTGAACGGGTGACTTCCTGGCGGCACTCACAGTTCTGCTGGCACTCCGAGCCGGCCCGGTCCACCGCCGCCGCCAGGTAAGCTAATAACTGATTACTCGGACCCGGGCGGGCCCGGGATGGTCCGATCGCCTGTGCGCAACGGTTAAGTGAAGGTGTAATGATTACTGAGTTTAAAAGTATTATACACGGCCTCTTAACAACTGATACTACCGTAAGCAAAAGAGACCCCTATTGTTGACTTCGGTCTTTTAAATTGTACGGTTGCTGGAATAACTGATACTACTGGTAGTGATCACCCTATTTTTGACTTTGTCTGACGGCCCTCAGCTGAGCGTCAGCTGCATGCGGCTAGGGGGGGGGGGCAGAGGAAGCGTCAGACACAGAGTGAGTGAAGGAGGGAGCGGGAAGAGAATGCTGCGAGACTCCGTCATCTTGATCGTACTTGGAGGTTGGTTGTGTCCGCAAGCCGAGGCCGGGTGTGGAAACTGCTCGTTCGATTTCTCGGAATCAATTTTGTCGAGAAAGGGAATGTGTAATGGTGACTGCGGGATTGATGTTGCGTGGGGAACCTATCGGAGAAGTTTGCGTTTGAATTCCTGCGAACCACCCATTCAGAGCATAGCGGATGGGGCAGTCTTCGATGGGCTCTGGAACTTACAGGATCTATTGCTGCAGTACAACAGCCTCTACAGTCTTCCAGCAGGAGTCTTCGACGGGCTCTCAAGCTTGGAGGGGCTATTTCTCCAAAACAACCAACTGACGAGTCTGCCGGTTGGAATCTTCGACAAGCTTACGAACCTGCAGCATCTACTGCTTGGAGACAACAACCTGGTAAGTTTGCCATCAGGAGTCTTTGACAGGCTTTCAAACTTACAGACGCTAAGTCTTCTGAACAACAAGATTTCCTGCATTCCTTCCGATGCTTTCGCAAATCTTTCGTCCCTGAACATTTTGCAACTCAGAGGGAACAACCTTCCGTGCTATCATCTGTCTTGGCCAGCTTTCACTCAATATGATGCAAATCTCCAGCCGTGCCAAAACGAAACTGTTTGCAATGACAACGGAGAAAGCTCTTCCGCGTTTGCTCTGCAGAGGACCAACAACGATGTAGAGCGGGCGTACCAGATCCACACGTTGTTCAAGGACAACGATGACGAGGAGGATGGAGGCGTATAGAGATTTCCAGTGGCACTCTCCTCACACACGAAGCAAAGATGCGTGACAACTCTGATGACGATGATTGCCAATATCTATGATGGTGAAGATAGCGATCACCGATGGTCGCGCCGAGGGATGATAGTATCAGGAAACAGAGAACTAGCAGAGATGACGATAGATGTTCAAGCTTGTTCACTTCAAGCAATCAAGTCTACCAGAGACACGTCACCTCGTTCTCGTTTCCCCTTCCTGTCGATGCAAGCGCGGCCCTTCTTCCTCTTCCTCGACCCCTCAAATAGGCCCTGCCTAGTCCTAGGAACTACTACTACCGGTACCTTGCTCTTCTAACCAGCGATATGATTCCTCGACCGGTCCAGGTCCTGGTTCCATAGCTTGGGGGTCTCCTGAGAACGAGTCATAGGCTTGACATGACGAGATCTTCGATTCGCATCCAACGCTCTCTGTCAAGATCCCATAGCTGCTCTCTTGATAGATCCCATAGCTGCTCTCTTGATAGATCCCATAGCTGCTCTCTTGATAGATCCCATAGCTGCTCTCTTGATAGATCCCATAGCTGCTCTCTTGATAGATCCCATAGCTGCTCTCTTGATAGATCCCATAGCTGCTCTCTTGACAGATCCCATAGCTGCTCTCTTGATAGATCCCATAGCTGCTCTCTTGATAGATCCCATAGCTGCTCTCTTGACAGATCCCATAGCTGCTCTCTTGACAGATCCCATAGCTGCTCTCTTGACAGATCCCATAGCTGCTCTCTTGACGGATCCCGTATGTCCCTGTAATCTGCTGAGAGGTGTTCCCGTGTCTTCCTCACGTGCCCGCCGGTAGAATAATTCTGATTTATTGGCGGGCTGCCATATCCTGTCACCTGCTGTCCTGTAGAGGTCTGATATAAGCTGATTCGCTTATCGCCTGCTGCCTCCGATCGTTCCTAGGTTCTTACTGTCTTCTTCATGGTCCTCCTACGTCGTCCCTATCGAAGCTGTTGCTGTCCTCTCCGTGGGTACTTCCTAACCCTCTGTGCACTTGAGCCACATCGACTGCCTGGCCTAGTCTGATATGAAGCTTGCTGCCATCAGTTGCTGCAACAAGGCGCAGGGAGAGAGGCGGAGAGGAGGAGGGTGTCGCAGCAGGCAGGAGGAGAGAAGGGGGAGGCAGCGGAGGAGAGGAAGGAGGTGGAGAGGAAGGAAGGGAGCTACAAGCCATCCTCTGCGTCGAGGAGCAAGCTGGAGAGCTACAGGCAGTCGCAGAAGCTCAAGGAGGCGTCGGACAAGGGGCGAGTGAGCGGGGAAGGGCAAAGGCTGGACCAGGATGAGGGCAAAGGGAGGCCTCTTCCTATACCTGAGGCTTCTGCCCCTCCAATCGCCCAAGGCCTCTCCCCCGCTCGTCCTGCACCACCTTTGAACAGACCCCGGCTTTCTCCTGCTGCTGCTACTGCTCCACGAGGCGTCCCCGCGTATCAGATTGCTACTGATCCTTTCTCGATGGCAAATCTGTTTCCTCCTCCTCCTGCTCCTACTCTTGCAGTCAAGGAAAGAAAGCAAGAAACCAGCCAAATCTCTGCAGGTAGAGGAGGAGGGGAGGGGAATGAGGAGAGGGGAAGAGAAGGGCGCGGGGGGCGGGGGGCGGGAAGGAAGAATTCGGATGGATGGAGAGGAGGGGAGAGGAAAGGGGAGGGGAGGGGAAAGGGGAGTGGGGGGAGAATCGGGATGAGAGAGGAGAGGAGAGGAGAGGAGAGGAGAGGAGGATATGGGATTGATGAGTTATTCCAGGAAATCGCGCAGGAGAGGATGGCGAAAATCGCTGCGAGAAAAGCAGCAGAGGGAGGGAACAAGGGAGGAGGGGAGGAAGATTTGTAAATGCCACTGAGATGAGCTAACAAGACAATAAGACCAACAAGACTATGGAAGGATCGAGCACGAGAAGGATGTATGGATAGCACAATGCAGATGAGGAGAAATTGCGAGCTGATGAGGAAATTCAGTTGGATATCAGAGGTGTGAGGGGCGAAAGGCACAAAGGGAGGAGGAGAAGTTGGGAGGTTGGGAATGTAAGGAGGGACAGAAAGGGAGAGATCCGAAAGATCCGAAAGAGGAGGAGAGGACAGGGGAAGAATCACCCAGCAAGGTAGATGTGGGGAGGGGAGGTACTATCCAGCAAGGTAGGAGATCAAGTTGGCTAGTGGCAACCACTTCATTGAGCATCATGTGGGTACGTAGCGTCTAGAAAGCTGCATTGTTGGCATGCGACGCTTTCTCGTCATGCTTCCACCACTGGTCGCTGCGCCCGGCGGTGCCGTCGAAGGACTTGGCAGACCATCTGGTGGCTAGATGAGAGAGATTCGAGGAGGAGGAGGAGGAGGAGGAGGAGGAGGAGGAGGAGGAGGAGGAGGAGGAGGAGGAGGGAGAGGGAGAGGGAGAGGGAGAGGGAGAGGAGGAGGAGGAGGAGGGAGAGGAGGAGGGAGAGGAGGAGGGAGAGGAGGAGGGAGAGGAGGAGGAGGAGGAGGAGGAGGACAAATGAGGGGACAAGGGGTTCTCAGCAAGAGAATTCTAGGAAGGGAAACGGCGGAAAACAAGGAGGGAGGGAGGCACAAGGGTCAACCAGTTGTCATTCTTGCCGACAACGTCAATCATGAGTTCAAGGCTAAAATCGACCTTCGTGAAGGAGCTCAACCAGTTCAGAGCAAGCCTTATCCGATTCCAATCGCACTTGAGGGAGACCTCCAGGAGGCTTTATCGTATATGCCGCAGAGGGATATGATCGAAGTCTCATCGTCAGCCTGCTCTAGTTCTGTGATCTTTGTGAAGAAGAAGGATAGAACTGCGCCGCTCCCACACGTTACTCAGATGCCCTTGCCACGACGACGTAAAGTCTTCTTCACTTCGTAGAAGTCACCATCAGCTGTAACAATGGGAGCAGGAGGTTGTGAAACAACATCCACAGTAGGATCCCATCAGCTGTAACAATGGGAGCAGGAGGTTGTGAAACAACATCCACAGTAGGATCCCATCAGCTGTAACAATGGGAGCAGGAGGTTGTGAAACAACATCCACAGTAGGATCCCCAAAGTAGTAAGGACGCAACGTGGAAACATTGTAATGGGCGTCTTTGAGCGGACGCAGCCGTAGAGGAAAAGACAAACGCACTGTACTGTCAGACGGCTTGAACAAAAGCCGATGTTCTAGTAGACTCAAATCCTTGGTAGAAAGCATAACAAAGTCACCAACATTGAAATCAGCCGATCGACGAGCCTTATTCATCTGCGCCTCACGTTTCTCAGCCGCCAAGACAAGAGCGTCGCGAGCAATGTCCAAGCTCTGTAGGAGATCATCACGAGTTTCGTCAACATCTTCATGAGCATGCTGAGGAGAGAGGTTGATCACTGTCCGCACGTCCCGTTGGTACAGGATCTGAAATGAGGTAAGGTCAGCAGAATTTCGTACAGGAGAGTTCCATGTCTTTTTCAAGTGAACCAGATTGGTATCCCAATCCCTTTCATCATGTTTCAAACAGAAAACGCTATTAGAACTTTCAACTCGTCCTTGACTCTGAGTAAGGCCAACACAATCGCCAAACATCCTCGCTCACGTAAGGAATAGTTCATCTGTGCCGGGTTCAATCTTTTGCTGTAGCAGCCCACAGAGAGAAATGTTTGTACGACTGGTCGTTGCATGAGAGCTGCCGCAATCGCCTTATCACTTGTATTGACAAACAGATGAGAATGTAACTCTGGATTGAAAATTTGAAGCACTGGAGCATCCACAAACGCCTTCTTCAACTGATCTGGGGACGCTTGGCATGCCTCGTCCCACACAAACTTGACATTCTTCTTTACAATGTTGGAACTATTGTCGTTGCTGTGGGATGAGATGTTGCAGAGAGGGGTAGACGCAGAACTTGCACTTGTCCATGCAACAATCTCCGAACTTGTGGCAGAGATCGTCACATCAGCATGTTCCCGCACTCTCTCCGCGTAATGGCTGAGGCCTTTAAACATCGGGGGAGCTGTCCGAAGCAGTGGAAGGTCAAGGCCCCCAAGATGATTGTTGTCTGCTCCATGCTGCCCTGAGGAGCGTGTCGTCCCCCCTGGGTGTGGTATTGGTTGAGAGCAATGGGCACACAACGGAGGAAGGTCATGTAGAAATTTGTCAATTGCTGTTTGCTAGAAGGTACCAAGGTTTGTACTCTCCACTACAGAAGTTGAAAAGACCCTTGAATGGTGTTGGCTTGCGAAGGAGGAAGGCGCTGCAGGATGCTAGGAACACGTGTCTGGCAATGGGGGAGAAGAGAAAACTTGGAGGCAGCGCTTGCAATCTTGATTGGCAGGATGCGGCGAAAGAATCTTTGGAGTCATCAGACTGCACTGGCTGACAGAAAGCACCAGAACTGCTTTGACGAATGATTGGAAATGAGTTTTCTGGTCGGATGAATCGTGTCTTCTCGGATGATCGGAGGAGGGATGATTATACATGGTTGTGAGTTGGGCAGCTCGAGGACAGGCAACTTCCACCAAGCCTGATGTCGTAGTTGGTTCTCCAACTCGACAACCTTCAACAGGAGCGAATCCTTTGCTGCATACCATGCAAGGACAAAGGTACTGCAGGAGCAACTTCAGCTGCTGCCTGGAGGTCTTGAATTCGCCAACGACAGCGTCATTCCACGACGCTTCGTCGCAGTCGCAGGAGTACGCTCACGCACGACACCGTCACTCCTCAACGCCTGGTGCAAAAGTCAACTCGACGAGCCGAGTTGCGATAGCAAGGATGGCACCGCCTTGGATACTACGGCTCAGAGCCGGAAGGATACGAAAATCCGCCAGTTGCATCACCCAGGCGTCTGGTTTCAAGGCGGTCCGAAAGCACAAAAGCTGGAAATAGGCAAGGGGTGCAGGCGCAACGAGCGCGCAGAGGGCCGCTGCTTTAACTGCGGGCAGCGAGGACAAGAAGCGGCAAGAACCCGTATCATCACACGAGAGCTGGCCTCACAGGTGATGAGGATACCTACTCGCCTGCATCAGACATGGAGCCGTCCCATGACCAGCACACTAAGGCGCCGTCAAAGGACCACGGTAAGCGCCCGTACGGTAACGAGGATAGCACCAGCAGCAGGTGCTTTCAAATGAACATCAACTTCGCATCCCAGGTACGATCGCTGGCCATGTCGAAGGCACAAGAGGATGTGGAGGACAAATTCTCGCGTTGCTCGACATGGGGGCAGAAGCGAGCTCGACACGGGGGCAGAAGCGAGCTCGACACGGGGGCAGAAGCGAGCTCGACATGGGGGCAGAAGCGAACATTCTCGCTCCTTCAGTCACCCGGGTGCTACGGCTGGTGCAGTTGCTCACCGCGACAGCTCCATGGTCGTTCAACGGTTCGCAACGCCTCTCGAGTGGACTTCACCATCATCGCGGGCACGGCAATAAACGCACAAGGGGACTTCCTTGTCAGTGTACTCGGCGCGCTTTACACTATGATGATCTGCTTGCACTAGACAGACGGTCGGGATGATGGTCTGCTTAGCGAACTCCGGGCGGCTTCTTTACCGTGGATGATCGCCGCGTTGGCGACAGACTGAGTCAATCTTGACATTGGTTCCGAAAGTGCTTCACAGTCGCTGCTGAATCAAGCGGTCCGAGCAGCGTCAGTGTCCGATCCGATGATCCGTCAGTCGGACTCCGGGATGATCTCCGGGACGGTGAATAATTCAGTCACTGGAGTCCGGGCCCGGGGGCCGGCCCATCCGACACTTTTTTTGTTTTACAGATTGCGAAAGGACAGCGATAGGAGCAGGAGCAGGAGCAGGAGTAGGAGTAGGAGCAGGAGCAGGAACAGGAGCAGGAGGAGCGGTAGGAGGAGCAGGAGGAGCAGGAGCAGGAGGAGCAGGAGCAGGAGCAGGAGCAGGAGGAGCGGTAGGAGGAGCAGGAGGAGCAGGAGCAGGAGCAGGAGCAGGAGCAGGAGCAGGAGCAGGAGCAGGAGCAGGAGCAGGAGCAGGAGCAGGAGCAGGAGCAGGAGCAGGAGCAGGAGCAGGATCACCAGAAGGAGCAGGAGCAGGAGCAGGAGAAGGAGAAGGAGAAGGAGAAGGAGAAGGAGAAGGGGCAGGGGCAGGGGCAGGGGCAGAAAAAGGATCAGGACAAGGAACGATTTGATCAGAAGCAAAATAAAAAGTCTCCTCTAACTCGAAATCAAAGGGCTAGTTATGATTATCAGTGCAGCAAATCACTACATTTCCAAGATTGTTCTCAGTCCGTGAGCGGTTTTCTGTCTGTTACTTTCCGACCTCTATTGCTGTTGTCATCGCCTTCTTAAACAACAATCTCATCACCATCACCATCACCATCCAGACTTGAAGCTGTTCAGTCTCTAATCGTGTTTTCTCACAGGATGAGAACCATTCTTTACTCCCCCTTCGGCAACCTGCACGCTCGATCCTGTCAGATAGACTCGGGGCCCTTCGGGAACAACTCTCATTGCTTCAACAACCTCGGGTGATGGACTTTTGAACTTCTGCCCGTCCTACATGCTCACGTTTCTCAACAGCTCTCACACTATCAAGACCGGCAAGTACTACCAGGATAGCAACAACGAGGACAGAGCGGTGGGTTGCCCTTCCTTGTGCTGTAGCAGGGTCGACGCTGACGCTCCTCCTTCTCGCCTCCTCCCATCCCCTCCTCTCTTGTGCGCCTTCCCTCTCTCTTCATCTCCTTCCTCTGGATGTCCTGCCCGTATCATCTTTCTCTTCGTTTACCTCCCTTCCTCCTCCACTGCGTTCCATCCTACCTCTCCCCCTGTCGGATCTTCACTCCTTCCTCCTCCTCTCAGGGTCTGACGGTCGGGAGCATGTGGTATGACCCGCAAACCAACGGCTCGTGGGCCAACGGCAGGAGGGGAGGGCTGGTGCAGGCGTTTCGATGAAGAGCGAAGGTTGCGGACATGTGTAAATGGTGTAAGATGTTTAACAAACAGTTGAACTGTCAAGTCCTGCTCCATTCCTCTACACACCCTTTCCTACTACTCTTCCTCCCTCTGCCTCTGTCTTGGCTCCCAACGCCCTTCTGTTGCCGTCCTCCTCCTCTCCCTCCCTCCCTCCCTCTCTCCTTCCTGCCCGTTCCCCCACCTGCTCCCTGTCCTCCACCCTCCTTCTCACTCTCCTCCCTAATCAAATCCACCCTTCCATTTCTCCCGGGGCGGCAGAGGGAGGGGGGGAGGGAGAAGAGAGCAGGGCAGAGAGCAGGGCAGAGAGGGAGGTGGTGGGGAGAGGAGAGTGCCAGTCAGAAGATGCTGGGGAGCGGAGAGGGGAGAGGGTGAAGGCCGCAGATAGGCTCAGAGAGAGAAGGAGGGAGGGAGGGAGGGAGGGAGGGAGGGAGGGAGGGATGAACATGCAAAGGCACAACGGGGGATGGTGAGGGGGAGTGGGAGGGCAAGAGGGAGGGGGAGGAGGAGGCATTGGGGTGTGGGAGGGAGTAGCGACTGAGCCGAGCTGCTTCCAGCATAAGCGTCGCTCTCCGCTATGGAACTCCTTGTTTGTGGTGTTGCGGCGGGTTGCCTTGGGACGTCGTTGCTGTTTGCGAGCGAGTTTGGCAAGGTGAGGAGAAAGGAGGCGAATATCTCCTGTGAGATGAAAACTTGTTGTGAACAACAAGGATGAAGTTTACCCCGATGTTCAAATGACGTTGTGATTCGAATGCATGATCAAACATGTTTGTTTATGTATAGTTCCCTGATGTAATCCAAGATGTTCTGTTATGTATGATCTTGTACCATCATTCCCTTATATTTCCAAGAAATTATGTATGATGTGTATGTGCAATCTCGTATTATCATTCCATCACACACCCAAGATGTCATGTTGTTGTGTATATCATTTCCAGATATGATCCAAGAGTGTGACTGTTTGTTCTATCGAGCAAGATGATGTGTTTGCTCGATGTTGACTTGTTCTTAGGGTCTTGGAGATTCCTTCTTCGCTGAGAAAACCCCGACAGGAAAACCTTCCAATGAGGTATCATGCTCAATCCCAGTCCCCCTCCTCCTACAAAATTCCTCCTCTTCTCCTTCCTCCTTCCTCCTCTCTTCGTCCTGCTACTCCTTGCTACTCCTCCTGCGTTCCTCCTCCTTCCTCCCTCCTCCCTCCCACTCCCTCAGTGCTCCTGCTTATCCTTCTTCGTGCACTTTCTCCCTCCCTGCCTTGCTCTCCAGCCCTCCCCCGCCACCCTCTCCTTTCAACTCACCTCCCCTTCCTCACCCTTCCCCACCCCTCCTCCCCCCTCTCCGCTCCTCCTCCTTCCCCTCTCATCCCCTCTACTGCCCCTCTCCCCCTCTCCTGCCCCTCTCTTTCTCCTGCCCCTCTCCTCCCTCCCCTGTCCTCTCTTCTCCCCCTTCCCTCTCCCCTCTCCTCTCCTCTCCTCTCCTCTCCTCTCCTCTCCTCTCCCTTGCTTCGCTCATGACAGTCTCCAGTGCAAGGCGCACGAGGCTCCTATCTCAGATCTCCGGGTCCCACATGTCTTCGTTCATAGAGAATTTCCCAAGTAGAAGAGGGAGAAAAAGTTTGTAAATTATTCATATCTTACTTGCTTCCCTGCTCCT